GAAAATAAACCAGAAGTTATAAAGTTTTGGAAGAATAATTTAGCATGTCAAACAATAGCTAAAGCAAAAGAAATAGGAATAAACATCAAAGCAGCAAAATGGTTATGGAAAGTATATGGACATGATAAACAAATAAAAGACATGCTAGAAACAAAAATGCAGATAGCAAGTAGTAGCATAATAAACGATTGGGGATTATTATATGTGAATCAGCTAATAGATACAAAAGATAACAGCTTAATCATATGGAGACAGCTCAAAAGTCTTCAAGATCTATCATGTAAGAGAAAGAAAGCCAAGTAGTTTAGTGAAATAGAGAGGAAAATGCTGAAAGCATAAGAAAGCAGAGAAATACAAGACCAGTACAAAACAAACAGCTATAACATATAGGCATTAAAGATTAAGTGGACAAAGATGTCAGAAGATTGAAAGAAAAGAGAATAAATCATGCATGGACCAAAATACAACCAGCAACTCAGCAAAATAGTCAAGAAAAAGAAGAAAAAAGTGTTAGCAGAGTATTGGCTAATGCACAAAGAAGAAGGAAAGACACACACAGAAATAAGTTTGTGCAAAGGTTGTAGAAACAGACAAGAACAAATATCAGATAAATGTGAGAAATGGATAAGACAAGACCAAAACATGAAGATGGTTCTAGAGTTACTAATCAAAAAAACAAACAACAGAATAAATGCAACATTAGAGCAACTATTAGAAAACAGAAGAATTGAAGAATAGAAAAGAGATGAAATAGAACTATCAGTATTAAAGCCAACAGAAGAATTAGAAATAGAACTAATCAAGAAACAAGGATTAAACAATATAATTACAGATCAGCTAACAGAAGTTCTAATGTAGAACAAGAGAAAAAACAAAGAAAAATATACTGTCTATACTGATAGGGCACTATATAAAAAAAGAAAAGAAAACAATATAGAAAAGATGGGCATTGGCTGGATACAAATAGATGATAAAGAAGACTGACCAGAAGAGGAGATTGCATTCAGACTCGAGAGTTGGCCTTCAGCAATAATAGCAGAATTAGCAGCAATATAGATAGCAATTCTAATAATTCCAGAAGGAAAAAATATAGAGATTTATACTAATAACATCGCATTATTAAGAAACATTAACAGAGCAATACAAAACATAGAAGATAGAAGTACAATAAAGAGGAAAAATATAATGTAGATAATGAACATTGTAGGTCTTATCAAAAGCAAGAATATAAAGATAGAAATAGTTAAAGTTAAAAGCCATAGTGAAGATAAGTGGAATGATAAAGCAGATTCTCTTGCAAAAAAAGAAGTGACTTGTAGAAATTTAATACATGCAGAAAAGGTTATATATGATGAAATAGAGTATCACTTAGAGTAAGAAAATAAGAAAGTTGATATACTAGCAAGACTTCTGTGTAAAATAATAGCGAATTCTAAAATTGGACCCAGTTGGAAAGAAACAAATCCAATAAAAGCACTAGAGCCAGAAACAGAAAACACATTACATAATTGGACAAGTTTTTGGAAAGAAATAAACAAAATAAGAGGAGTTCACTATACATCAAGAAAACTTAGCATGAGAAAAGTTATAGCAATCAAGTATATAACAGACAAACTGCCAACACTCGAAAAGCTAAACAAAAGAAGACCAGAAGTATATACAATAGCAGAATGTCAGGTATGCCAAGTTGAAGAAAAAGAAACGCAAGCATATCTGACTAGCTGTAGGAAACAAAAAAATCTGTGAAAATGAATTCAAAAAGTTGCAACAGCAGCAGCATGGAATAGGCTTAAAGAAGAAGAAAAGAACAGAATTCCACTATGAGTTTTATATGAAACACTATTTGGGAAATCAGAAGCTGAAAAAATCAAAAATAGAGAAGTGCTGATAAAAGGACTTATAAAGGTAAAAGTAGAAAAGAAACTTGAAAGACTCTTAAGTAAAAAGGCAATACAGAAGTGCATAAATATAACAACAAGAACAGTGTAGAACACCTTTTATGACCAAGTATGGAGAGTCTGATGTGAGAAAACACAAAATTGGGAAAAGAAGAATAATATAACAAACAAGATGAAGAAAAGTGTTCATACAAAAGAAAAAATAAATAAAGAGAAAAGAAAAAATCAACAAACAAGATAAGAAGAAAAGGAAAAGAAAATAGAAAAAGTAAACCAAATGAAGAAAGAAGCTTTGAAGACAATCAATATGCTTATCACAGAAGGAAAGAGGCCCTTCTGGTATGGCTTTAAGTAGTTAGACAAGCAGTCTATCTCTAACTGAGATAGTGTGACAGGTTGCACTTAGGTACCATAAAAGTGGCCAAGTGATGCTAGACTTAGACATTGGGAAATTCTATGTAATTGTATATGTATATAGTTTCAAGAATCTTAATAAAGTACTAACGTAACTGCTTAAGGTTAAAAAAAAAAAAAAAACTTTATTACATATTTAGAAACAAAAAATTTTAATACTAAGATTAAAGATTTCTAACTATATTTGTGTTACAATTTTTGACATTTAATGTAACATTACACCTTTTATTTCCTATAAATACTATTTATTACTTATTTCAAATTAGGTTTAAGCTAGGATAGGTTAGAGAAAACCTAATTAAATATATTTTTTAACTACTATTTTAAATTAAATAATATTTTTACTTGATTTAATTGACTATAATATGAATTGTGTTCTAAAAAAAAAGACCAAATTAATCATTTTTCAATTTTTTTTTCAAGCTTAACTAATCCAAAATCAACATAAAACCATTTTTTACTTAAGAAACCAGTTCTGTTATCTTAATAAAATTTGCAGTACAACTCTTTAAAGTTTATATTTTCTTATAATTTATTATAAAATTTATAATATAAAATGCAATTTTTTACTACCCTTTTTTTATTAAATTGGTCCCTAGCGGATATCTGGATAACCTAACAGTAAACTGGCTATTCTATCTTAGGGTACGACTACTAGAAAAGAGCCTCTAAAATTTTAAATACCTAGTTTTTATCAATATAAGAATAAATTAGCCTTAAACATATGCTTGATTTAGTATGTTGACCAAACACTTTAGTGTGTACGTATAAATTCGAGCTGTAAAATCTTATCGGAAGGTTTACACTTAACAAGCTTAGCACTTACTAAGTTAAAGTGTGTATTTAAAAAAAAAAAAAGCACTTAGGAAAAATGCATTTAGAAAGGGTTAACTATATAACTGTTTAAACCGAACAATAAAATTTTTTAATTTTATTTTTAAGTTCAAAAATTTAAATCTGAATGGTAAAAATGGGTTAAACCATTTTTAAACAGGCGATGATTTTCCCGAATAATTAAGTATACGAAGACTTAAAATATATGTATCCGGATCATACATATCAGCAGGAGAAAAAAATTTTTTTTTTACTATCTCTGGTTTACACTTAAGCTAAACTTTTTTCATTTTCTTAATAACCCAGGGAGTTCGATATAGAAACTGTTGACTGTAATCGTATGCTCACCTTTAAAAAAAACCATTAAAAATTAAGATTCAGGCAAATTTGCCTGAAAAACAGTTAAAACAGTTTAAGAGATGTACTGCACATAATTAACAAGATCAGTCGATGCATTTTGATTTGCTATTTGATGTTACAGGCCAAGCCACATGGAAAATTTATTTATAGTAATGGGTGATATTTTAAGAATTCTCATTGCTTTTGTTCTCCGACATTATCTTCCATTCACAAAGTGACAACAGTTCTTTCGTTGTCTTTATATCGGTTAGTTTCTCGTTTTTTTTTTTTGTATTAAAAAAACATTTGAGCCCATTAAGAGAGCTTGAACAATGTCATCTGGACCGCACACACCCACTGAAGATCTTATGAGCGATCCAATCAATACAACGCTCGATCGTCTCACTGCAACAGAGGATATTGTGACAGATCATCACGACGATCGTTATAATTCTGAAGACCGTCGACGTAGCAGAACTGACGATGAAGACTTTAAATATCGGCGCAGGTATTTTCAGTACATTATGGGTATTGTAGTGTTTTCTCCCAAGTGTTCCTATTTTACTTAAAGTTATTGCATTCGGCTCCTTATGCATCGTTTTCATTACTTCTTTCAGAAAAAGCACTAGTCGATCATTATCACCGCGTAGACGTTCTAGATCTCCACGCCGTTCTCGGTCACCACGACGAGACCGTACATCACCTAGACGTTCCCGCTCTCCACGAACACCACAAAGAGATTCATATTCATATTCTGAACCTTATCGTTCTTCAATCCGTCGTACATCGTCATATTATGAAACTGAGAGGCAGGAGAGACGGGATAGAGAATCGGAAAGGGATAGAAATAATAGTGGTACACGGGAGGCACATCGTGAAAGGGAACGAGAAAGGAGGGATGCACGTAGTCGGTCAAGGGAAAGAGAACCAAGGGAACGGAATGTTAACTTACGTAATAATTTCAGACAAGATAGGAATTATAATCAAAGAATATCAGCTCGGGAAGTGGCAGGTATGTCAAAGAATAGTCCGATGCCATCATCCAATGGTCTACAAGGTTTGACATTCGATATTAAATATAATTACTTACCGTAATCCTTATATTAATCAATCAATAATATTCGATCTCGTTTCACATTTGTTATAAAGCAATAAATGCCTCACAAAGATCACAAAAAGAATGCCGCGTTTATGTTGGAAATTTGGCTTATGAAGTAAAATGGGCTCAATTAAAAGATTTCATGCGTCAAGGTTTGATGATTTAGTTTTCAGAATTATTTTAAATTTTCTTGTATATTATTGCTTAATAATTTTAATTTCACACTTCAAGCTGGTGAAGTTGTTTTTGCTGATGTCTTGGTGCAACCTAATGGCATGTCTAAAGTATGTATTCCATTAATGGATAGGCTAGCTAATGAAAGCTATTAACATTTTAAATTCTTTTATTGTTTTAATAGGGATGCGGGTAAATTCATTGAATAGAGTATGGCAATTTAATACAAAATCACATTTTTTAATTTCTCTAAATTTAGTGTTGTTGAATATCGTACTCCAGAAGATGCACGGAGAGCAATAGAAACTCTTAATGATACTCAATTACTCGGAAGACCTGTGTTTATTCGCGAGGTATTCATAAATTGAGCACTATCCATGTCCTTTATGGATGAAATGTTTATCTTTTGTAAACTTATTAGGATCGGGAGACTGAAGCAAAATTTGGTACTGGATTAAGCATTAGGCCTGATAGATCATTACCAGTTCACAATAGTAATAATAGTCATCATGTTGCAAATGTTGGTGGTAATGCTGGTAGGCAAATTTATGTAGGCAACGTAAGTGCAATAATCTTTTTATTTAAATATTTAACCTGTTGGGTTGCATTGAATTCTTATATATATATGTTTATTACTTTTTTTTTTAAACAGCTACCGTATTCTGTTGGATGGCAAGAATTAAAAGATCTTTTTAGAAATGCTGGTAGGCTACATCGATATTACAATATATTAACGCGTTAAATTAATTATTGATACTTTTTTCTAGGAAATATTATTCGAGCTGATATACTCATTGGTCAAGATAGACGATCTAAAGGGTCAGGGACTGTTCTTTTTGAGACACCAGGAGATGCTGCAAATGCGATTTGTATGTTTGTGAAAACAATTATGGGAATTTGTCTTGGCTTGTGTGTATAAAAGTAGGAAGAAGTAGGAATTGGGAAGGATGAAATTTAGGGTCATTAAGCTAAATGGTTATTTTTATTTTAGCTATGTACGATGGGTTCGAATTGAATGGTAGAAGGATTGAAGTCCGTGAGGTGGGGTGTAGTTTGGTTGTTTTTTTTTGTTTGGAAACCTTTTGGTGGAGAAAAAGATGGTGTATTCGGTGGTTATAACGTGACTTAAGCATAGACACGTTGTTTCTACCGCGTTACTGTTTGGTGTGGGCAGGAATTAACATGAGGCAAGTATTGAGCTGGTGGGTTTTCTTTTTCGAATGCATTCCCCTTATTTTTCATAGGATCGGTTTGCTGGAGGACCACCACCGCCAAGATTTTCAACACGTCCAACTCGTCCTTATGCGGGTCCGAGTCATTATGGTCATAATTCTGCAGGAGGATTTTATGGGCCACAAGCAGCTGCACCAGCAAGCTTTGGTTCGACTTACCAATCTATGGGACCTGGTCCAGACCAGTATGATGGATACGGTGGCGGTTATAATGATTTCAGCGCTGCAGGCGCAAATATGATGGATTATAGCGGCGGTGGATTTGGTGGAGGTTACATTCCCCCATACGGTGGTGCAGCAGTTGGATATGACGGGTCGGCGGGTTACTATCCTACACCAGGAGCATCGGGTGGGACTGGAACTCAAATCTTTGTCAGAAATGTAAGGACTCTATGCAGACAATATTAAACGTTAGATTTTCTTAGTTGTATTTGAGACTGCAGAAGAAAACAATATCTTGGTTTCTTCTTATGTATTGGTATTGCTAAACAAAAAACGATAGGTGATATGGAAATAAAATTTAGGAGAATATAGACATGCTAGAATTAATAATTTGGTATTTTCTTTTTGTTGGGTTACATTAGCTTCCGTTCACAACAACTAATTTGGATTTGAGAGATCTCTTTAAACATTGTGGTTAGTTATTATTTATTTGTAATAGCTTATTTGTTATTTTGCCTAATGTTATACCTCGATCGTAAATAGGTAATGTTTTAAGGGCCGAGATTCTGGAGCAAAATGGAAGACCAAAGGGTGCCGGTGTAGTGCAATTCGATTCAAACGAATCTGCACGATTTGCTGTTGGTAAGAGTCTAAATCGGTTTATTTACTGTCAAACGTCGATGTTTCTTATATGAAGTATTAATCAAGAACACTTAATACTTGCAAAAAAGAAAAATTTAGTGGATACACTTACGGGGGTCGTATTATTGACGTTAATTTTGATCGATATGCTTAAATTACGGCAACAATCCCATCTTAGTATGGGAAAGTTTGACACACAATTGGTGTTTACTTTTGTTAAATTCGTTTTATTTATCTTTGTGGATTTGTAATAAAATAGTCACAATTGCTGATAATAATCTTTCTTTCGCTTTCGTATTTATTGTTTATATTTTGTAAGTTTTTTTTTTTTAACTTTGTTATAAATTATAAAATATTCTATTAATTACAACTCGCTATATTTCAATAATTAATACTTTCCTAATATTCCAACATTCTAAACAATTTACATAACCAAAAAGCGATATATATGTTGTGAGTGGGAATGGAATTTAGGTGTATTTGAATTTTAAGGTAGAATTTATTTTACATAAACCTTAACCGAAACTCTTAAATTCCATTACCTTAAACCCCGTTCTCACAACATAGACACACTTAAACAACGTTGGCCATTTTAGGTCATACTCAACTCTATATGACCAAGGTGGTCATAATGTAATAGTAAATTTTATAAGTCATAACAGGTCATAAGGTCATAACCAATAGCTCATAATGGGTCATATAGGTCATAGGCCAACACTGCACCTAAAAGCTCTTTGAAGATTGTCAAAAGGAAATATAACCTAGAGTCAGAGAATGGATTCGCTTCCACAAATTATTTGTTCAGATAGGCATATGTGCTTTGGCGTAACAAGAAAACAGCTAAGCACATCTTTTCATCTGGTCCCAAGTTTTTTAAAGAAAAAACAAGGTACTCTTTTCATGATATAGCCAATTCATCATTACTTCTTTGAATGGGAAGGAATCATTCTGAAGAAATTTTTTTTTTTTTTTTGCATCTAATATTCACGAGAATTGTGATATCTTTTTTAGTATCACCATCAAATGTCACTTTCACGTGATCACCGAAAAAAACTTAAAGTTGTATAATTGAATTATTAACTTATTTAGATTACTTTAATACTTATAACAGATAGCATTGGTTTTGTTAAGATCTCTGTTTCATAATAAAGTATGATTAATTTAATAATATATATTTTTTTGTAAAGAAATTAAAATAATAAATAGAATTTATAATAAAAAAAAACAAATACTAATATAAAATAAAGTTTAAAAGGTTTAAGTTCTGTAGCTTAGCAGTTAAACTTTAAATTTTACAAACAAGGTTAATGATTTAAGATTGGTTAAAAGCAAAAAAGAATTTTGTTTTTATAATTTTATATAGTTAAGAAAATTTATTAGTTTATATATAGTGTTTATATATATATATATATATATTTTTTAAATATTAATAGTGTGTATTTATATATTGTTATAATTTATTAAATTACAACTTCATATAACATAGCATCAAACCAATTTTACAAATGAAAAAATAAATTCTTGCTTATAATTAAGATAAGAGTAGATTTGGAATTAGGCAAGATATAGCTTATACTAAAATTTTACAATAAATTTTTTTTACTAAAAATGGTTTTATAATCAAAATTTTGAGATATTGATCAGTTTATATATATTTTTTTTTTTTAAAAAATATTAAGGTAAGTACTTGTAATCTAGGATTTTATTGATAGTATATTTGGTTAATAGTTGCATTACAATCACAGAAGGTAATTATAGAAAGAATATACAATTAACTATTTATACAACTTTAGTTATTGTCTAATTTAAGTAGTCTGTCTGAAGGTTTTATATTAGTTGCTATACTTAGAACCTGTCTGTAGGTTTTCTATTTAACTACTCTAGTTTTTGTATTTATTCACTTACCTCTGCCTACTAATGACCCTGACTGATGTTGATGAAAATATGTTATAATTATTAAGTCTTTAAAGTAGTTTACTCATATAAAAAATTTTTGACTTTGTACTAAACCTTTCAGAATCTTCTGTATTTCATTCTTATAGCTAACTTGGTATCATTATGATTAAGATCAATATTGGTGGTTAGAGTATATTATTAAATCACTATGTCCTTGTAAAGTTTATCCCAATTCTAGTATTGACTTTACAATATATTTCTACTATTTTGATATTTAATTTAAGTTTTATTAAGTTTTCAAACCAGATAGTTTAGAAAGGCAGGTCATAACTATACATTTTTGGTTTACATATTTGTTGACATATAAGTTTTTTCTTCAGAATAAATCCTAGCAGCCTAGTTGGTTCTATTCAGTCTTTTCTTAAAAGCCAGTTCTTTGACTAGTTTTATAAGTTCTAGTTCTGTTTTATAAGTCTAATTTTTACAGTAATATTATTAAAGGTTTGGGTTATTTCTCTACTCAAATCTTTCAAATGAGTTTTTATTTTTTTATCTGATTCTCATAATTTATATAACTTAAAAACTTATCTTGAGTTTATATTGCTTAGTATCAGTTTATGTTTCTTCATACAACATTGTATAAATGTTTAGACCTTCCAGTCATGCTAATATGACATGAGTTACAGGTGTCTTATCCTAACCAATCACAAAAGACCATTAACTATAATATAGAAAGAATTGCAAATTTTCATCATCATTGGAATTTGAACTCTAAATCTGTCACTTAGAGGTTAACAACCTATTTACTTTACTAGGTTATCATACCCCTTTAGTTTATATATATATATATATATTTTTAAATATTAAGGTAAATACTTGTGATTCAGGATTTTATTAGTAGTATATTTGACTAATGAATGCTTTACAACTACAGAGAGCAACTATAAGAAGAGTGTACAACTAGCCACTTGTACAACTTTAGTTATTGTTTAATTTAAATAGTCTGGCTAAAGGTTTTACACTAGCTGCCATATCTGGAACCCTCCCTATTTAATCATTTTAGTTTCTGTATCTATTCACCTACCTTTGTTTACCAATAATTCTGACTAATGCTGATGAAAATATGCCATGACTACTAAGTCTTTAAAGCAGTTCACTCATATAGGAAACCTTTGACCTTGTATTAAATTTTTCAAAATTTTCTGTATTTCATTCTTACAGCTAACCTGATATTGCTATGGTCAAGACTAACATTGGTGGTTAGAATGTATTATTAAATCGTTATAGTTTTGTAGAGTTTATCCCAACTCTAGTACTAACTTTACAACATATCCTTACTATTTTGATATTCAATTCAAGTTCTACCAAGCTCCCAAACCAGATAGTTCAGAAAGGCAAGTCATAATCATACACCTCTGGTTTAAATGTTTGCTGACATGTAACCTTTTCCTTTGAAACAAATTCTGATGGCCTGGTTGGTTCTATTTGGCTCTTCCTCAAAGACCAGCATATTTGCCCAATTTTACAAGTTTTAGCTCCATTTTATAGGTCTAGTCTTTACAGTAGTACTGTCAAAAGTTTAGGTTACTTCTCTACTCAGATCTTCCAAATAGGCTTCCATCTTTCTTCTTTTGGTTTCTATGATTTATATGGTTACAAGGACTTATTGTAAGTTTGCATCACCTGGTATCAGTTTGCATTTCTTTGTGTAACTACAGACCTTGTCTCAAAAGACAATGTCATGTAACTGTTACACAAATGTCATGTAGCTTGTCAGTCATGCTAATGCAATATAGGTAACAGGGTCTTATCTCAACTAATTGCAAGAGACAGTTAACCATAACACAAAAAGGATTTTCAAATTTTCTGTCAACACTGGAATTTGAACTCTGGACCTGCCACTTAGGGGTTGATAATCTGACCACTTTACTAGGTTGTCATACCCTTTGTTACTTATATTTCTTTTTGATATTTTTGTTAATTATATATATAACTTAGTTTTGGTATTATTATAATATTGTTTATATATGCAATCTGACTCATTATTATTTTTTGTATCAGAGATCTCTTATTATTTAACTAATTATTTTTTTAGTTTTTTTTTTACTAGTATTTCACTTATTCTGTTATTTAACTATATTTCTAGTAAGTGAACTATTTTGTTCTTTGTTTCTTCTGTTATCTTGCTTTTTCTAAAATTATTTTTCTTTCTTTTTTCTTTAATTTTGTATTCATTATTAGTAGCTTTGATTTGAAACTATTTATTTCTATATTATTTATCTTAAAAAATTTTTCTGCTATTTTTAAAATCTTTATTAACTGTTCTTTACTATTTGCAATCCATATTGTTATTTGCATATACAATGACTACTTGGCAATATTTTGTGATGTTGCTACATTGCATATTTCTTTTGATTTGCTGTTTTATTATATAATTTAAATCTTTATTTTTTTGTATTTTCTTTAATAGTAAATTATAAAGTCATCATATTAATAGAGATATTACTTTATCTTGATCTATACCATCTTCTGCTATTATTTTTTCTGTTAAGTTATAAACTATAATAATTTTTAATTGTCTCTTATAAAACAGATTTAAGATATATTTTATTGTTCTTTTTAGTATTTTAACTTTTTGCAATATTAGTTCCAAACTCTTAAATAAAACTGAGTCAAATGCTTTTTTTATGTTTTGCAGAAGTATCTATACTTTTTTATTTTTTTCTTTTATTTCTTTTATTAAATTACAATAAAGACAATAGTTACTAATAACTAATAGCCTTTATAAAAAAAAATATATATACTATTAATATTTATTTATATATTTTTTTTAATAATTTTAATCTTAAACCTTAACTTATCTATAAAAAAAAACTTAACAAAAAAAGGCTTAAAAAATTTTAAAAAATAGATATAAAATAAATAAAATCTTATTATAATTAAAAGTGTAATAATTTAGTAAAATAAATAAGTTATTAACCTTTTAAGTAGTAGATTGTAAGTTCAAAACTTATTAATAGTAAAATTGAAATAATCACTTATATAATATATAGATAATATTATAATAACAGCATTCTGTTAATTAGTTAAGATAAGATATTTGTAACTATAGTTACATTAGTATGACTGGCAGATTATAGAATATTTGTATAACTGATTATATAAAGAAATACAAATTGGTAATAGGTAGTATAAACTCAAGATAAGTTTTTGTAGTTGTATAAATCTATAGAACTAGAAAGCCAAAGCCTACTTAAA